TCAAAAACAAGAGTGACATTTCCCAGGTCTAATCTCGCCTCAGGCAACAGAAAAATCCCACAAGTTCTTCTTTGATAGGGCCGGCCGGGTGAAACACACCCACGGCTAGATTTTGAAACACTTGGAAAATCATCCTTGTTCATCTTCAAGGATGATGTGGAGGGTGTGCCTTTGAACTCAAGATAATCATCATCTTTGCGCCCTGCCCAGATGGGCTCGATTTGGCCTGGTTTGGCCCGGGATGGAGGAGTTGGTGCCAGAAAAGTCTTCCCTACCTAGGGTTGCAAGATACATGGGTACTAAAAGTAGGACATACTGTAGAAAGACAAAAAGGAGGACAAAGGAGGACATATTAAATGTTTCATTTGAATCATTCAGATTAAAACCCACAATCAATACAATTTTTATTTATTTATTTACAATAATTTTTAGCCACACCATTACCAGTGGCTTCTGGGTTGCCAATAAATGTCTCTTAGTGAACTGACCAAGAAACAGTCATGTTAAAAATAAAAAATAAATTCAATGGAGGCTTTTTTTCAAAATACTGGGGGCCGGCGGGCAGGTGGGGGCGGAGAAAGCCAGGGGGAAGGGGGCCCCTCCACCTCTCCCCCTCCTATTCAAAATTATAACATAAAATATACAAAAGCCTGACATTTTAACGGTTTTTATCTTTGCCTGCCTGACGGAGGACATTAGGCTAAAAAGGAGGACATGTCCTCCTTTTGCCTGACATCTGGCAACCCTATCCCTACCAGTCAGACCTGAGAGCCCTTCTGCGGAGGAGCGCTTCTATGCGGGGGATGCGCGTGAATGAGGGCAGATGGTCAAGCATCCCTTCCCCCCCCCACTCCCACCCTCTTCCCTCAACGTTGTTCCATCAAGACCAGCCCTAGTCAAGGAGGCACCCTGGGGGAATCGAACTCCCAACCTCGGCCTTCACCGCCGGGAGACCTAAACTACCCAGTAGCTAGGGTGATAAAGATTCCCATCTCTGGATTGTGAGAACTGGAGTACAGTCATGGGGTGCGTGTGTGAGAGGAGCACAGCCTTTTCCTCACTTGGGCAGCAGAAATATTTATTCCCTATCGTTATTATAATATATTATTATTATATTATATTATTATTACCATTATTATTATCTTATTATTATAAGAAGGAGACGACAGAGGACAAGATGGTTGGACAATGTCATCAAAGCTACCAACACGAATTTGACCCAAGCAGTAGAAGACAGGAGGGCCTGACGTGCTTTGGTCCGTGGGATCACAAAGAGTCGGACACGACTAAACAACAACAATCATTATTATTGCTGCTGCTAAAGTGGCATAGCAGTATTTTGAAGAACAGCATTCCTTTTAATTATTATTTTTCTTATTTGTGAATACTGTGTGATTTGATGTTATAAAAAAATAAAAAATAAATGTTTTGAAAGAGCCACATTATTAAACGAATATTTCATTAAACTTATTATTTTTCTTATTCGTGAATACTGTGTGATTTGATGTTATAAACAAATTAAAAAGAAATGTTTTGAAAGAGCCACATTATTAAACGAATATTTCATTAAACTTATTATTTTTCTTATTCGTGAATACTGTGTGATTTGATGTTATAAACAAATTAAAAAGAAATGTTTTGAAAAAGCCACATTATGAAACGAACGTTTCATTAAACTTGCGCATAGCAGCTAAAATGCAAACGTGTTTTCCAGACTCGTTTAAATTGTATGTCAAATAATTTCTCAGTGTATTAAATGTGCATATGTATTATGCACTATATACACACAAATATATATATCGGTACAAATAATATGAAATAACAAGTATCTAAGTATGTGCATTTGCCTTTATTTTCTACACGCAGTATACATTACATTTCCCCCTATTTATGTGCTAACATTCCTCTGAGGGGTTCAAGTCAGCAGGAATCATCCTCCCCTTCTCCAGTTTATCCTCACACCCATGCGAGGGAGATGCGAGCAACAGGCCTCAGGTCACCCAGCGAGCTTCATGTAGCCTAAAGGGGATTTAAACCTCTGTTTAACTAACTATGACACCATACTGGTTCTGTGGTGGTGGTTTTGATGTCTTTTTCTTTCTCACTTCCTAGAAATTCCTCCCACACCCACCTTTCTACCTGCAGCAGCTGCAAACCAACCCCTGCCATGCCAGGGGGCATGTGTGTCCCTGTCCCCCCCCCGCACCTCCTCAAAAACATCCCCACCCCACCTTTCCTGTCCCAGGCTGGCTGGACCTCTTAAGGAGTGAGGGGATACATGGCAATGTTTTTCTCCCAGATCCAGCTTGAGATCAGTCCTATTGTACGGTTGTGCATGGAAACTATTGCCTCGGGATGGCCACAGGCCTGCGGCTGGCCCTGTCCGTCCGTCCGTTTAGGATTGCAGGGCGGAGGGAAGGAGGTGTGGGAAAAGCCACAAAGCCACTTTCATGTCGGAGGGGTTTGCCACCTGTATGTTAACAGGGCAGGCTTCTTTGGTGTTATGGCATGAACAGAGAACAAGACACACAGGTATAAGCACCTTCGGTCCTGGCCCACGGAAGAGCAGAATCTCTGAGGGGACTTCACAACCAGTTTGTTTTTAAAAAGCCAGCAAACAACACATTCAACATCACCGTGACAAGATCAGGGGCCCTCCAGCTGTCTTTGCTTACAGCTTCCATCAGCCCCACTCTGGACGGTCAAACGGGTCCAAGCGCTACCTTAAAGCCAGAGAAGATCACGTTAAAAGGGGTAGCCAAGGCTAGCACTGATCACACCTCCCCTCCTGTGACCTGAGCGCACTCTTTTGAGCTATTTCTCCCATAGTGCTCAAGGTCAAACAAGTTCATGCACTTACTTCAATATATGTCAACTTAAAACAACAACAACAACAAAAAAACAATAGCGGCTGGTCAAATATCCCTCAAGAGACTTTGAAACCAACACCATCTGTCCCCTAACGAAGGGACAAATCCAGCCATTAATTCTTAAAAATACATGCACGCTAGAAAAAGGTATTAGGAATGGGTTAACGAGAGGAACACAAAAGGAATGAACATACAAAATACGCCAAATGTAAGAAATATAATGGTTAGCCATGATTGATCTTGATGTTTGGGTCTTGTCTTCAAGTAATGATCGACGGTCTCGGCCAGCATGAATTTCTTTGGGTAGAAACCCAGCTCCTTCTGCGCCTTGTCTATCCGAAATGTATGGGTAATCAGGAGTTTCATCACCTACGGAAGCAACAGAAGGATGTTACGAATGATGTTCTCAGCAATAACGGTGTTTTGGGGGGGGGAGTTGAATTGCATTTGGAATGCCCACTCCATGGAACAGTCCTCCATTTGAAGTATCATCTGTTCCAAGCCTGACTGAAATACGAAGAGCTTTAAGAAAGCAAAGTGGCTGGATAGTTCAGTGGCTTGGTTATTGGGCTGTGAAGCCAGAGGTTGGGAGCTGGATTCCCCACTGAGCCTCCTGGAAGAAGAGCCAACCTAGGTGGCCTTGGGCAAGCTGCACCATCCGAGGGCTCCCCCTAGAGGAAGGGAAGGGGAAACCACTTCTGAATATTTCTCGAAAACCCTGAAAAAGGTCACCATAAGTCAGAAGTGAAGCACATGAAATTGACAAAGTGTGACTCGGGTCACTGAGTGAGTTTCATGGTTGAGCAGAGATTTGAACCCAGGTTTCTTGAGTCCTATTCCATCATCCTAACCATTATAATACAGTCTGTTAAAGGATACTACTTGTCCTCTCTCTTTCTCTCTCACTTGCAGAAGCAATAAATGAATGGATTGATCAAATATGGTTCACACATATCATTCTGCTTGCCGGGCCCATGTCTTCCATTTTCTCTTGTGCTCATTAAAAATGCAACAATGAAGAAGGATGGAAGTTGGCTCCCTGTATCTAAACATTATCTTTATTGCAAAGGATGATGCCTATGGATTCCTGATAGGCAACAAAGATAGGCGACTCAATAAATAAATAAACAAACAGTATATCCATTTTCGTGGTGACTGTGAAAGTCAGGATTTCATCTACATCCTCACTTGCTTTACTTTTAAAAGAAAAAAGTACAGAATACACTGAAGTACATCTGGGATGAGAGATATATACCTGACATCCATGTATACTTTCACTAGTGGGCCCTGGCAGAAGGTGATGCCTAGAATCCTGTTGCAACCAGCACGTTAATGACTGGCCATGTGGGCTTACATTAGTTCTCTTCCAAAAGCATAATGTGACAATAGGATTCTGGCCAGTAAGTATTTTACTTTCTCCCCTCTCCATCACTGGGGGTCCATTGGCAAGGGTGGATAACACCATCTCCAGATATAAACAAGGTGGGAGGGCAACACTAGTTCATTTCTGAACCTTCTTGTCATGTGTGATCCAGAGCCAGAAGTCTTATCCTCAGAGGAAAATTCTGAAGGTTTTTTTTTTTTCTAAACCTCCGCCAGCCGACCATGGCTCCAGAGGTCCCACAGATACCTCTCCCACACTCTTCTGGAGACTCTAGACAAAGGCAGATCTGGAATCAGCCTAGGGCCCTTGAGGAATTTGCTTTACCCACAATGTTAGAAGAATGACCACCCAACTGAAGTGACCACCCAGACCAAGAGTGTATTATTATCACGAAATACAGAGGCAATGGCCCCCGGTCAGAGAAAAACACACCCAAATGCCCGGAAGCGCTAGGAGTAAGAAGGCTTCTGAAATGTAATGGCTTCTCAGGAGCAGAGGTCTCCTCAAGAACAGGCAGGCATGAGATTTAGCCCCCTTGCGTACAGCTTGATTCAGGAGGAGCTCTGGAGGACCAACGTCACGTACGTCTTCTGTTCTGGCCTCTCCACGGTTAGAAGAGTACTGTGTCTAACTCTGTGGAATTCAACTATCTGGTGAACCTTGCCTGGCTTTTTAACAGCTTGTCTCCTGCCCCTCGTTTGCCTTCTCATGTGTGATCTCAGCTCCTCTCTTGACTCTGCCTTTGGACCAGGCTCTTAAACTGTGTTGCTTTTTGGTGTCTGGTCTGGCACAGTGTTTGGATTTAGCCAACCTTTCATGGCAGCCGATGACCGACAGACTGTCACAGGACATGGCAGCGTCCAGGGAACGCTGAAGTTCCTTGCTTTTTGTTTCCTTATCTTGACACTCCTCAGCCCAAATCCACTCTGGGTAGAGGGAGAAACTAAAAGACTATAATTAAGCCATTAATATTTACTGTCTAGGAATGAGGCCACAACTGCGTGCCACACAAGTTTTCCTTCAGTTCACATGAGTATGTTGAATTAAGTCCATGCTTACTTTCTTATCACCAGCCAAATCACATAAAATGCCAAATACTTATGTGAGGAAAATAATATGCTATGACAGACATTGTTTATCACTTGAAGGAGCACCTCTTCTAGAAATGGGCTAAATAAATATATCAGCTAGTTTGACTATCAGATTAGGAAGAGATCTTATATCTAGCTCTTTATTAGAGTTGAAAGCACATGAATGTTGGAGTGATTCAGGCAGGTATTTGTGCTGGAGAAATCAGACATCAAAGGTATTTCATGCACAAGTCCTGAAGACCAATCAGAAAACAAAACATATTGTATTTTGCAGATCATGTACGATGAGAAAAGCTTCTGCTATACACACAGACTCGTTCAAAAGTTAAGCAATTCCTTCTTCGAACAATAGATTATCAGCAATATCTGTTTCTGCCCAAGGTGTGTTGTACAACTGTGTGATAAAGGAATTAATTAGGAGGGAGGACATTGCTCACAGTGATTTCAGAGTAGTGAATGTGGGAACCTTCTTTTGTTGTTGTCGGTAAGAGCGTAGGAACCCTTTGGCAGACCCAAACCCATAGCTTCATTTCCTGATATGACTTTGCACCCAAGCAGTTGAGGAAGGCGCTTTTGTTGAAAGAAACATTGCCCTGGAACAAACACTTCATCTCTACTACCTGTGAGTGCATAGGTGCATAGAAACTGGTGCACGCAACACTTTTCGCAAGAGTGGGGCTAATCCAGGTGTCGTGCTGGAGGCTGATGCCATCTGAACGGAGGTGACACAGCTGGGAAGTAAACAGGCAGGTGGGAAAGGGAAAAAAAGGTGGGATGCTTCCCTTCTCAGTGAAACATCTGTTGGAGCGAGCCCTCTCCCTCTGAAGGGGTAGAGATAATAGAAGCACTTGCAATCCTGTTGGACGCTGTACAGGGTGTAGGATTATTTACCTCACGCTTGGTCAGGAAAGGTGTAAAGCTGAAAACTGGCTTAAGGAGCAGGTGCGCATATTCCAGAAAAGTAGCTGTAGAACAGAGAATGTCAATATTAGAAGATGAGTAACAGAGACAAACAACAAAGAGTGGATACTCTCCTTTAAGGCAACATTCAAGGCCTTCTCAAACCAAGAGGAAGGAAGGAAGGAAGGAAATTTTTAAAAAAAGCTTTTGCAAAGCTTTTTGCAAAACCAGGAGAGAATGCCTGGCTTCGTCTGGTTTTATTTTCTGCCCTCCTCCATTTCTTCCCATTTTAGGGAGCCGGTGCAGCCAACAACAGGCCCCCATGGTGGAAAATGAGCCCCCAGACCTTGCCCACCCCTGCTGCAAATAAATACCTTCTATTGGCTCACCAATGAAACACATCCACTAAAGAGCAGCTCATGAAATGTTGGCACATACCTGTTTCCCTCAAAATAAGATCTATCCTGAAAATAAGTCCTAGTATGATTTTTCAGGATGGTCATAATATAAGCCCTACCCTAAAAGTAAGCCCCAGTTAAGTGAAAACCCCGCCCTTCACCATTGTGCAACAACCAGAGGATGACATGACTGTAAAATAAAACATCCCCTGAAAATAAAACTTACAGTGGTGCCTCGCTTAACGAGTGCACCGTTTAACGATGAATCCGCATAGCGATCTGTTTTTTCAGATCGCTAATGCGATCGCATTGTGATGTTTTAGTGGGTAAAACATCGCATTGCGACGATCGGTAAACGTTTCGCTTACCGATCTTCGCATTGCGATGTTTTTTCAACAGCTGATCGGCGGTTCCAAAATGGCCGCCGCGCGCCCAAAATGGCCGCTGCAACCATTTTCGCGCCCTGCCCTTGCTTACTGAGGGCACGAAAATGGCGGCGCTATGGAGGAACATCGCTGAACGGTGAGTTTATCCCCCATAGGAACGCATTAAGCAAAGTTTAATGCGTTCCTTTGGACTGTATTGCGTTTTTTGGAGCAAAAAAATAGTAGCGATGATTAATCCGGATTAACATCGCTATGCGGGGCACCACTGTATTGCGTTTTTTGGAGCAAAAAAATAATATAAGCCCCTGTCTTATTTTCGGGGAAACACGGTATTTCATTTTTTAACACATACAACAAATTGCAAACATAAGCAAACAGGACACGGAAAATGCCCAGCGGACATCTCTCTTACCTGCCATCAAAACAAGATATGTAGGGAGATGTATCCATGGCTTCTGGAAGCCCAGTTTTTCATACTGTAAGGAACAGCAAAGAAAAATGTTATCAAAATAAGCACTTAATCTGCTTGACTATAAACTCTAAAGGCCACTCTAGCATGCAGGGATGAGAGGTGTTTTTTTTTCTGGAGACCACAGAGACAAGATTCAAGTCCCTTCTGGTCTTAGGGAATCATGTTCCCATCCGCATTTACTGTTCTTATTTATTATTTTCATTGATATGCTGTTCCGAAACAACCTAAAGCCCACCAAACTGTTTCATCTTAGATACCTGGCCCCCTAATGCTTCACTGCGCAAGTGGTGCAAGAAGAGTTTTCTAACATTCGAAGGCACCCCCAAACTGTTCCACCTTACATCACCCTTGTCTCCCTGCAGCCGTGTTCAACTTCATATGGACTCGGGAAGGAATTCCGAAGCAGAGGAGCAGCAAACAGGAAATGATCTTCTACTAACCCATTGAAACCAAATAGATTTCCCAGCTGGCCTCTTTTAGGAGGGCAGTTCTGGGTGATCTCAGCTGGCATCGGGACCTCATACAGCTTGGGTCTCTATCTCCCCATAGCAGCTGTTTTGGTACTTAAGATCATCCTAGGAGGCCCTCTTCTTGCTCCCACTGCCAGCACAGGCATGGTTGAGGGGGAAACAAGAGAGGGTCTTCTCTGCAGCTGCTCCCAGATAACAGAACACTCTCCCTTGGGAGGCCAGGTTAGTCCCCCCCCCTCCTTTTAACTTTCCACCGACAGCTAAAGACCACCTTTTCAGGCAGGCTTTTAACAATCATGACTGAGTCTCTGAATGCCGTCTTTAAGTTAAGATCGCTTCTAACATTTTACCTGTTTTTAATGATTCAGTTGAAAGATGGGGGTATTCGTATATGAACATCTCCCGCCCAGCCGGACTTAGTAAGGGGCCGGTACCCGGTACCCCCGGTGGCAGCCTTGCTCATCCTTCCAGTCGCTCCCGGAGTAGCTCGCCTGGCCACTTCAGGCAGTGGGGAGGGAGGACAAGTCTCCCTGCGTGGTGGCTAAGCGGCTCGCCGAGCAAGAAGACAGCGGAGCGACAGGAGCGACCGGAAGGATGAGCGAGGCCGCCACCGCTGACAGATGCGGGAGATGGACAGCCGGGGCCCTTGTTCAGTCCAGTTGTGCGGGAATATCCGTATTCGTATACAAATACCCCCATCTCTAATTCTAATCCGTTCTATAGTTTCTTTGTTTAATGTATGATGCACAATGTTTTTAATTCTGTTCTTTTTAATACCGTGAGCTGTCTCGGGTCTCCAGAAGAAAAACAGCCTACAAACAGACAGATGGACAGACGGACGGCCATGGGTGGAGATGTCCCCGTGTGAGGCTTAACGCCTTGCTGTGAAGCTTAACATTTGCTCGACTGCCAACTGGATAAGTTCTATTGCTTCTTATGTTACACCAGCCCTGTAAAGTAGATCAGGATGAGAAAGAGCAACTGGCCCAAGGTTATCTAAGTGCCCTAGTTAGATAGCGAGTGCTCTGGATGGCCTTGAACCAGTCCCTGTTTCTCATCCTGATCAACCTGACAGGGCTGTGTGAGGATATAATGTGTGCTGGGGGTTGGGAGGGCAGTCATGCAAAGGGCAATTTGTAGCCATTTGCTAGCCACACACTGTGCATTTAAGAGTGTGTCCGGCCTTCATTCCCACGCTTCCCATTTAGGATGTGGAACGAGGCATGCAAAGCAACATACTGTATTACAGAGAGAATTTCATTACACGAGATAATTACTTGTTGCAACACAAGCAACCGATGCAGCACAAAATTTTCACAACTCCCATCGTCTACAACTTAATTTCCTTTGACTGGAGTGGGCCACGGTCTTTGCTTAGCATCATCAAGTGTCCGGGACATGAATATGATTCCATGATTCTGGAGACATGTCTGTAAGGTATAGTTTGGTTTCGAATAGCAAGCACATCTCTGCCCTGTGCCTCTCCCAGGTTGGGCTTCAAAGGGAAAGTCTCCCGGAATTTGCTAATCGGGAGAAAAAAACACCTGCATGTCTCTACAGCTGGCACAGTGGCAGTAAGCCTTACATTTGTGGAGATTAAAAGAATCCGCCTGCTATCTAATCAAGCATAGCGCCGATCCATCATACCTTACAGACAGTAGGAAGTGGATGCCCCTGATAAGAATGCACACTCAGCCCCATTGTCTTGGTGGGGACACACAGCAAAGGTGTGTGGGCAGTGAACATGTGGCAACATAGCCAAGAGAGTGTAGGACTCTCTGTTCCATTCCCCACTGAGCCATCTATGGGAGGACCGCGGGCCACTGACGCTGCAGTGAGGAAAAGGAGACACCGCCCTTGAAGTCATGAAAGGGAAAAGCGCAACATCAAAAAAACTAGGAAATTTTAAAAAATACAATATGCTGGTTCCGTGTCTGGAAGGATGCTTTCTGCATAAATATCTCCTTTGCAGGATTAAGGTGACAATCTTCCTGAGTTTTTCTGTTCACTTCCTTCTGCCATAATGGCTCCTTTTCCCCGCCATTGCGCACACACATATCATAATGACAGCTGAATTAATTGGACTAACTAATGCTAGAATGTTTGTACTGTCAGAAACAGTTTACGAATGGCCAGTATCTATGGGGTCACGAAGAGTCCGAAACGACGATAATGTATTGTCATCATCAGTCCTTCCTGTTTTTTCTTCTGATCCCACGGACTCCATCTTATCCATATTTGTGTGTACATTTCTCTCTCTCTCTCTCTGTATGTATGTATATGAATTCTGGATAACACTTGATCTCCTTCCATGTATCTCTATAGCCCCAAACGTTAGTTAGCCTTATAAAAGATGTTGTTGGACTCGCCTGTTAAAAATGTGCCTTTTCTGGCCTTCCCGGACATTTACAACATTTTAATAACCACACCTAATTACAGGAAGTGGTCTCAACATTTATACTATCAATCCTGCAGTCCTCTTGTTCTATATTATATTATTTTAACTATTTTATTTAAATTGTTGGTTGGTTTATTTTTATTTTATATTATTATGAGCATTATTGGTATAAGTGTATGTTTTATTTGTTTAACATGTAAACTGCCAAGAGTGGCCTAGTAGCCAGAGGGGCGGTATGGAAGCCAAATAAATAAAAAGCAAAAATTGTTGGCTTTTGAATATTCTGCATGTATATCTCTGCGGGAAAAGAGGTTTAAAGGTTCATACCAGTGGTGCTATCCATTCAAAAAAATTAACGTTCTCTCCGTCATGTATGTAATATGGCTGGCCACTCTGTGAAGAAAGTAGAATGGAGGGGGGTGACGACCAGTTAGCAACTTACAAAGACCCAAGATAACAACTTCATTTTATTTTCTTTAAAAACACCAACAATTGCATGCATGAAATGAAAAACGAGGTAGTGTGTAAGTAAGAACAAAATACAGTGGTGCCTCGCATAGCTATAGCTATAGAGCTATAGAGCTATAGCGAAACATCGCTGAACGGGACAGGGAAAACCATTGGAACGCATTAAACATCGCCCTATCTAAACAACGTTGAGCGATCGCATTAGCGATCAAAAAAAACGGATCGCTATGCGATTTCGTCGTTATACGGTGCGCTCGTTAAGCGAGGCACCACTGTATGGGATTGGGCAATCCCATTGATGATAATGTGGTTGGATGCACAGTTAATGGTGTGGGGGTGGTGGAGAGAAACTGTCACAGATACATTCCAGCAACCTCTTCCCACGTCTTCCCTTCATAGGCAGCCAAACTATATGAGATGCAAGATACGATCTTCACAATTAGAAGTTGATAAAACAGATCCGCCTAGGCCTTTAGACCTGATTTATCTACGCAGTCATCCTGAAGCCCATTCTTCACCCTTTAATGATCAATAACCAAAGAACAGGAAGCTAACCTGGCTGGATAGCTCAGTGAGTTAGGAGAGGTTGGGAGTTCAATTCCTCACTGGGCCTTCTGTGAACAGAGTCAGCCTGTGTAAAAGGTAAAGGTAAAGGTTCCCTTTGACAATTTTTGTCCAGTCGTGTTCGACTCTAGGGGGCGGGGCTCATCCCCGTTTCCAAGCCATAGAGCCAGCGTTTTGTCCGAAGACAATCTTCCGTGGTCACATGGCCAGTGCGACGTAGACACGGAACGCTGTTACCTTCCCACCAGGGTGGTCCCTATTTATCTACTCGCATTTGCATGCTTTCGAACCGCTAGGTTGGCGGGAGCTGGGACAAGCAACAGGCGCTCACTCCGTTGCGTGGATTCGATCTTACGACTGCTTGGTCTTCTGACCCTGCAGCACAGGCTTCTGCGGTTTAGCCCACAGCGCCACCACGTCCCTTCACAGCGCCACTGCGCAGTCCCAGGAGCATCTCCAGAAGAAGGGAACAGGAAACTACTTCTGAGTACTCCCTATCTAGAAAACCTCGGAAAAAGGTCACCATTGGTCAGAATTGACTTGATGGCACTTGGTTAATTTGGGATACCCAGTATGACGTAGTGGGTAGATAAATGGACTGGGTTTGAATCCCGTCTTAGCCATGGAAACTCACTGGGTTTGTGTAAAGTTCTTTACCTCTGCTGTCAAGCTGGTGTCTCATATAATTTGGCCCCCAGCTTGTATTTTACACCTTGCATTTATAAAAAGACACACAATGGCCGACACTCTGGGCCATTTTTGGTTTTACTTACAGCGATGTAGTCTTTATCAGCGGTGAGAGCCACAGCAGCTAAGAGATGGCCTTGTATAAGATTAGAAATATGAATCCAGTTCATCAGTGTGTTCGGATCTCCAAATTTGAAGGACAGTAGTCTTCTTTGTATGTTCCCCTGTGCAAAAGAGAATAAGTATTAAACAATTTGAAAAATACCTTTGACTCTTTTTGCATGTATCATAAGGAAATCACTATGTTTGACTGGCAGCTTGAGGTTGATGTAGCGTGTGGATCAGAACTAAATTCAGAGGCCCACAGCCATGAAGCTCAGAGGGTGGCTTTGAACCAGCGGCTATCTCTCAGTCCACATTACCTCATGGGAGTTTTGTGAGGCTAAATATTGGACAGATTAAGAGCCCTACATTGCTCTCCTTGAAGAAAAAAAAATTGGATAACCTGAATAATGATTATTTATACATAAAGCAGTTCCACTGATTTTCACTCACAAGGTCTCAGACAGACAGAGAGACAGACAGACTTGGGCAAACATAAAAGTGCTTTCTGTGTAAGAGGAAAATGAAAAATGTGTTTATTGTAAATGTATTTTGTTACTTTGGATGTACTTCTGTTTTCATAACCTGTTTAGAACTGTTGGAACATAAACGGGTAAAATATTTCAAAACAATGTAGTCTCTTCCTATACTCTCCACGTGGATAATGGGATTCTGGACGTCATACGAGTATCCCAAAAAGTGAGGAATTGGATTTGTCTACGAAAGTTCATCTTAAAATATATCCGTTAGTCTTTAAGGTGCTACAACATTTTGGCTTCTTTATTTCTTATTTTTCTTTAGCCTGCTAATGCTAGCACAGACTAATGCAGCTACCTCCTAAATATTACAGAAAAGTAACTCTTCCCAGCCCAAACATCATGCATTATGTTATCCTCCACAGCTGAGAAACAAATGCGTACCACGACACGTGGAATGTGCTTTTGCTCTTCTGGTCCGTAGATGCCCGGTGGGCGAAGAACACAAGTTTGGAGTTTATCACCCCCTAAGAAAGAACAACACAGATGACAAAACAATATAAAACCAAACAGAAAGGAGTGCCCTTTACTTACTTACTTACTTTACTTACTTAACTTACGCAACTTTACTTACTCACTTACTCACTCACTTACAATATTTATATCTTGCCTTCTTCCTAAAAAGGACCCAAAGAAGTTTAGAGACATAAGAGTATAAGATGCTAAAAGACTCAATGGGCCAGGATTGTTTTCATGGGATGACTTATGAGAGCACTGTAAGCAGAATCTGAGTACTGTACAAGATTGCCATTTAGTTATGGCTACTACTAGCTATCATGACTACATATTTATGCAGTACCAGGAGTGTATTTCTGAATGTCAGCCTTACCCTCTGTAAATTCATCTAGTACCCTTCTAAAAGCCAAGCATCTTGGTACTCATTCTACAGTTGGGGCAGGGAACTTCAATGTGAATCACCCTGTCATCCCCACCAGCAGTTGGGGCGGGGAACTTCATAGTTGTGTGAAGAAAGATGTCTCTTTCTCAGGAGCCATGGCACTGACAAGTAATGGGAGAAATACTCCAGGATTGGACGGTCAGGTTAGCAGTATTTTCCTTCGATTACCAGACATACAAGTCAATGTGAATCACCCTGTCATCCCCACCACCGTACCCCATTATTTTTCCTCCACTGTTTGAGCTTCGGCTTTTTTTGGTAGTGAATGTGTACACATTGGTTCGAGTCGTGTGATTGCTTGAGCCAATGTGAAGGGGTTTGTATCCATTCAAGCCATTCCAGCCAGCTTCAGCAGCAGTGAGAGAGACAGGGCAGAGGGGAAACTGGCTGCCATTTGAATCCCCTCTTTCCCGAGTCTGCTTGTCTTCCTCTTCCCTTCCTGTCCCATTTCTTCTCTCCCTCCCTCTTTTTTGAGGCTTGATGGAATTACTAGGGCACTAGGGAACCAGAGTGAGAGAGAGAGAGAGTGCGAGAGAGAGAGGAGCCAGCAGAGAAAGAAGAGGAAATTACCAATCAGTCTTGTTTGCATCTTGTTAAAGAGCTCCTGCAAATCTGGATGGCCAGAGCAGAGCTACCTTAACAAGATGCAAAGAAGACAGATTGCCAATATCATTCTCTCTTTCTGCGGATTCCAGTGCGGTTGGTTAAAGCAAACTCATCCAGGGAAACCCAACCTCCCAGGTGGGACCTCACAGCAGAGCCATTCCCATTTCTCCTGCTGCCTAGTTGAACCCCTCAGTCCTTCCACTATTCAGGTTCGGTGGAATGACTATGGGCTCAGTTCATCCGAAAGACATGGGCAGAAGTTACAGTGGTGCCTCGCTTAACAATTGCCCCGCATTACAACGAAATCACTGTATGACGATCTTTTTACAATCGCAATTGCGATGGCAAAACAATGGTCTAAATGGGGGAATGTCGCTTGGCGATGATCGGTTCCCTGCTTCGGGAACAGATTTGCACGTTACGACAATAAAAAACAGCTGATTGCCAGGTTTTCAAAATGGCCACCAGGTGCTTAAAATGGCTCCCTGCTGTGTTTAGGGATGGATTCCTCGCTATACAGGCAGCGAAAATGGCCGCTGTATGGAGGATCTTCGCAGGACGGTGAGTTTTTACCCCACTGGAACGCATTGAACAGGTTTCACTGCATTTCAATGGGGTTTTTAATTTCGTTTTACGATGGTTTTGCTTAACGGCGATTTCCCTGGAACAGATTATCGTCGTTAAGCGAGGCACCCTTGTATTTTAAAGGTACATTGTTCCAAGCAAGGCCAGTTGTATCTCTTTACTACTGGTGATCCCTTTATATTTTTCCTGCTGTTGGATGGCTGCTTAATTTTTCTGACAAACACAGATCATTAGTCCCACAAGTTACACCTACAAGGGCAGGCACGAAGTGTCAGACATGGAGCATTTATTCCCAGTTCTACTTAGAGGCACCCAGAATTGATTAGGTTGGATTTTTTTTAGCATGCCGTGTCCTAATGGATTACAAGCCCCTTTCCTCCTCCTGTGCACTGCTTAGATCTCTCATTTGTCATGCGTTCTGTGTAAGTGAGAGAGAGGAGCATCAGTCTGGTTCTGCTGACACACGGTGAATTAAATATGTAGGCACCCACATGAACAAAACGGTCTGGAGTAGGCAGCCTGCCATTTCGCTTGTTGACACTGCTCAGATGTAAAAGGCTGATTATTGTGAGAACAACATGGTAAGGTGTGTCTCTATGTATTTGGTCCTCTTTTGGAGGGTGTGTTGGTGAGATGTGAGAGATCCATGTCCCAGTGCTGAGTTCCCCTGAGTGAGGAACAGTTGTGTAATCTGAGTTGTGGTGTTGTTGTAATCTGCTTATTAAACAGTCTTTACTCAATGCATGAACAGCACCTACAGGAGTGGTTTTTTAAGAACAGCAGTTCTTGATTTTTCATATCGGACTCCAGCCACTCAAAGAATCCAGTTCCACCATGATTAAAAGCAAGAGGCTTGTATATTTTTTTTTAGAAGGATATTTGTATGCTTACAGATATTCTGTTATAATATTTATTTTACTTTAAGCTTTGGGGCAATTTTTTTTTGTCTTTAGTCACTAGTGTCCTTATTGGTTTTCTTTGTGTTTACTCTCGGTAATACCACTATAATGTCTAATGTCCTTAAAACTTAAGGAATAATAATTAAAAATTCCTTGGCGGAGAATACGTAGACTGAGGAAGAGTGATTTCTTAATCGTGATAAACTCTACACCCAGACTATCTTTGAGTCCCACCAATAGTCGTTTTTAAAAGAAAGTAGAAGTATAAAGCTTGTGCCAAGGGCCAAACGAAACCTCAGGAATGAGTGACCTCATTCTTTTGCATGTAGAGCCTCAGCTTCCAATACTATGATGTAGGTCAGTTGCCCATTCAAGAAAACACCTCTTATATTCATTCCCATTGATGCAAAATCAATCAAAGATCCCTGATTATTAGAAACTATTTGCTTTGGAAAAAATGGTTTAGTAACAGATCCATTTCTACTTGGTTACACTTAAGGGGGGCTGTATTTGGAATGTGATGGAGGATGAAAGACAGGTAAGAGACTCTTACACCACCTTCCTGCTGCCTGTTCTTTGTATAGGAACACCCCTGTTCCTTGCAGCTTTTTCTTTTTAAGTTGGCACCACATGTTCTAATGTGCCCTGAAGCTTCCTGCTCTTATTTCTGATCTGTGATGACAGATCGGAGGTAAGAGGCTGCTTAAAAGCTGTACTGTACCAGCTTTCAATAGAGCCTGAGCTATTCTTTGTACCCAGGAAAGCTTTTGCACTAGCGCTTACTCCCAAGAAGACATGCATGACATTAAACTGTGCTTTGTATGCCTGGAAGCGCTTGCACTGTTGTTTCGAAATAGATAGCAATACCGTTGAGCTGTGCTTTGCATGCATGGTGAGAAAAATCTCCAAATTGGTAGAATTTATAGGTTGCCCTGCCCTGTTCGCTTAATCCCACCTTCTGTTAGAGTGCAGTCTTTGGTCCTTAAATATTAAAGAATTCCTCATCCCCATTCAAAAATACAGATTCTACCACTGTTACATCCAGTTAGGCTGTCTGTTGCAATATATATTCTATACACACCCCCAGAGATTTTATCATCTATGCAAATGCCATGAGGCCAGGGCTTAACATTGAAGTGTGTTTGAGGATTAAGCTCTGATTACTTTCTATTTGAGAGTATTCACAGGACAATACAGCTTGTAAGAAAAGGCATTTTAAATAGTATACCTTTAAGCAGGGTACCATTTGCACCCAGTACCATCTGATCTGCAATGGCTTTGGTTCGTGAATAATGATCAACTTCCTAAAAAGAGAGAACATCAGATCAATATCTCCATGTAGTGGTAGCACACTTCCTTCAAAGTACATTTTCCTGCTTCAGCCACCACCTAGCTAGAATTCAGACATGAAAGACATAAGATACTTCAGGTATAACTTTCCAGTTTCTTCAAATCATGACTCAGATCAGGTGAGAAGAATTTCCACCCAAGGGACCTTATCCAGCCCCTGGAGGATACATGCCCACAAGGAATTTACGGATGCTCCACTCTGTGCCAACAAGCCCAACAGGACATAAGTCACCTATGTAGAGAATCAGAAACATGCTGTAGATCCATAAACTTCATCCCTTCCATGCACACAATCCAGATGTACTAAATTACTTTGCATTTAACAAAGCCAACATTTTCTCTTGGACATAAGACAGCAAATGATGATTGGCACTTGCCCTCTAAATCTAAACCGCTATCACAAATGGGCTGTCAATGATATTGCAACCACAACTGCTACTACCCTGTTTCCCTGAAAATAAGACCTAACCTGAAAATAAGCCCTAGTATGATTTTTCAGGATGCTTGTAATATAAGCCCTACCCCAAAAATAAGCCCCAGTTAAGTGGAACTCCACCCTCCACTATTGTGCAGCAATCAGACGAACATGGCATGACTGTATTTGAATAAATGTAGATTGTTGTACATGAAAAAAAACTCCCTGAAAATAAGCCCTAATGTGTTTTTTATAGCAGAAATTAATATAAGACCCTGTCTAATTTTCAGGGAAACACGGTATCAAGTTTACATGCCAAACATTGTTAGGGCATGGCTAAAGGTGTAGTATATCGCCGGCAAGGTTAATTTGCATGTGCAATTTTAAAGAACGTTTTCATATATTGTACCCTTTTCAAAAAATTCCCTTCCCCAAACAATGGCCCAACTCTTGTTTGTTTGTTTGTTTGTTTATTCAACTTATATGCCACCACTCTACCCAAATGTTAAGCATAAAAAGTCCTGACTACTGTGTCCAGGGAAAAATTGTAGAACGGATTACAAAGTGGTCACTCTGTAAGTATCTTGAAAACAACACAGTATAATATGTATTCTCAAGTGCTTTCATAGCTTGGATGCAATGGTTATTGTAGGTTTTTCTGGCTGTTTGGCCATGTTCAGGAGGCTTTTCTTCCTATTGAGAATGGCGAAATGTTAGGAAGAAAAACCTCCCGAACATGGCCAAATAGCCCGAAAAACCTACAACAACCAACACAGTAATACTTAGAACAAACCCTGCCAGACTACCCTTATCTTATTTTTTGATCAGGTAACCTCCCTAGTGGATGGTAGGAATGCTGTAGACATAATATATCTTGACTTCAGCAAAGCTTTTAACAACATGATCCATGAACTTTTGATTAGCAAGCTATCTCGGCGTGGGCTAGATAGAACAACTGTCAGATGGATACACAGTGAGTTACAGAATTGTACTCAGGGAGTGCATATCAATGGTTTCTTGTCAAACTGGAAGGAGGTAACGAGCGGGATAACCCAGGGCTCAGTCCTGGGGCTCGTGTTTTCAACATTTTTTATTAATGATTTGGATGAGAAGGTGCAAGGAAGGCTTTAACATTACAGATGACATAAAATTGGGTGGAATAGCTAATGCCCTGGAAGACAAAGACAAAATTCAAAAAGATCTCAATAGGCTTGAGCGCTCGGCTGAAAACAAGAGAATAAAATGTAATACAAGTACAAAGTCTTTTCCTGCCATACATATCATCTGCTTTCCTGCACATATATTTTTAGAAAGAAGGAAGAATGATTAAGTACAAAGTCTTTTCCTGCCATACACATCATCTGCTTTCCTGCACATATATATTTTTAGAAAGAAGGAAGAATGATTATGTTTGGGCCAACCCTGAAACTCTCCTTGAATAATGCTAAAAGGTTATAATATTAGTATCAAATAAGAAGATAACTGATCCCAGAAAACAGGATAATATGGACAGGGGGAGTTTCTCAGAGACCTCGCTCTGTTGCCCAAATACCTTCTCCAGTAGAATATATGGCACTGTTTCTTCATCTCCGTCTTCAATATCAGTTCCTCCAAATACAACGTTTACCGAACTGGTGTAGATCAGCCTGGAGATGCTTCTTTTTTTGCAAACTAAATTTAAAAAAAAAACATTAATTAGTAAAATAAAATCCAAGCTTAAAAATAATAAAGTCTGAGAAGGATGAGAGAGAATTGGAGCCAGATTTAGGCATAGTCGGAACACGCCTGTTGAAATAATTGGGGTTCCTGACTAACAAAACCTTATTGATTTTGTTGGGTCTTTTCTAAATGTGCCTACAGTATATCCAGAGTTTGAAAGCAATCCAACCGGCTTCCAAAGAAGATGCGTGATCAAGATGTGTCTTACTTTACTATGGGCAAAAACAAGGCTTTAGAGATACATATCAATTTAATTTTACGCAGCTCTTGGCTTTATTTCAAAAAAATCTTCTGCAAAGTGACCTATTTACATATTTAGCAAGGGAATTCCATCCTTCTTCCAGGTGGAGGGCAGAGAGGAAGAAAGAAACACCCACCCACTTCAAACACCCACTATCAGTCTGCAGTTCCCAACGGATGATGCTCATGGCAGAGAATGCGTCCTTCAACAGAAGGCAAATTCTCCAGCCCAGGCTGTAACACGTTTAAGCTTTTAGGCAACATGACGCATTCTGATAGCAGCAACAGCAACATGAAAGGTATGGTGGCAGCTTTAATGTGTTGCAGTGTGAACTGTTGTGGATTGCCAACCACTTTATCATAAAGCTGAGACTGGAGAACACCTGTTAGTCTTTAACAGGGTCACAATAGCGGCTTTTGTTGTTGCCGAAACAGCCTAACACAGCTTACTAGCAGGCATCCGTCAGTCTCGAGAGACTACTGTAACGTGCAGAGAGGTAACACAGCTATCTCTCTGAAAAATATCCAAGCAGATTAGATTGGCGGGCCTACATATATTGACAACTTGGGTTGTCTGCTCTGTTGGGTTGTCTCTACACACCCAAGAAGCAACGGAAGGTGTGTTTCTTCCCACAGAAGACACTGAAACAGGTATGTTGTAAAGGCTCCAACGGACCAGGAATTACCCTGAGCAAGTCAAACTACTACTTACCTTCAATTACTACTTTTGTTCCTCCCACATTTATCGACTCTATCTCCTCTTCCTTTTCTAGCTGGAAGCAAACAGGCAGTTAATATCTCCAGGTGGTAATGTCACTTCAAAGCCAAAATGAGTTTGGTTGCAACTACATGGTCAAATATAGGGACGTGGTGGCGCTGCGGGTTAAACCGCAGAAGCCTCTGTGCCACAAGGTCAGAAGACCAGCCCTCGGAAGATCGACTACGAATACAAAGTCCCCATCTCTAGTTTCAACCTATTCCACTTTCAGTCATCTAGCCCAGTGGTCCCCAACCTTGGGCCTCCAGATGTTCTTGGACTACATCTCCCAGAAGCCTTCACCACCACCTCTGCTGGCCAGGATTTCTGGGAGTTGAAGTCCAAGAACATCTGGAGGCCCCAAGGTTTGGGACCACTGATCTAGCCAATAGTTTAGGTCAGTGGTTTAGCTCAGTAAGTCACCCAAGTGTTCTTAGACTGCAGCTCCTAAAAACCTTGGACAGCACAGCTGGTGGTGAAGGCTTCTGGGAATTGTATTCCAAGAACACTTGGGTTACCCACTGGTTTAGATGGTTTATTTCCATGGTCAACCATTAAGCTATTAATACCATGTTCTCATTTTTCTGCTTGGTAGCATGTGGTTGTTGTTTAGTCATTAAGTCGTGTCTGCCTCTTTGTAACCCCATGGACCAGAGCACGCCAGGTCCTCCTGTCTTCCCCTGCCTCCCGGAGTTGGGTCAAATTCATGTTGGTTGCTTCGCAGACACTGTCCAGCCACCTCATCCTCGGTCGTCCCCTTCTCCTCTTGCCTTCACACTTTCCCAATATCAGGGTCTTTTCCAGGGAGTCTTCTCTTCTCATGAGATGGCCAAAGTCCTGGAGCCTCAGCTTCAGGATCTGTCCTTCCAGTGAGCACTCAGGGGTGATTTCCTTCAGAATTGATAGGTTTGTTCTCCTTGCAGTCCAGGGGACTCTCAAGAGTCTCCTCCAGCACCACAATTCAAAAGCATCCATTCTTCATCAGTCAGCCTTCTTTATGGTCCAGCTCTCACTTCCATACATTGCTACTGGAAAAACCATAGCTTTGACTATGCGGACCTTTGTCGGCAAGGTGATAGCTCTGCTTTTTAAGATGCTGTCTAGCATGTGGTAGTTTGGTCTTAATAGCCTAATTCCTCCAAAATTCCAGCCTCCTGAAATTGTTTATGTAGATGTTCTTTTTCCTGTATTTTTAGGAAAGGGTATTTTTTTTCTGCATATACCTTCTGCTATCGTAGGTTTTGCTCTTTTTTTGTATCAGAATGCCTTGTAGGTATACATTTGCTGCGTCAAGATAGTAAGTACATGATATGATTTCTGAAGTTCTATTACATTCAAAAATTAGTTCTAGATGATAGGCTATATGTCTCTTTATTTCCTTTTGTAAGTATATGACTATTCAATTCCCAAGACTATCTGATCGCCACAATTATTTCCTATTTTTAATTTTAACAGTATTAGTGCATGGTCTGCATAAATCATCCCCTGTTTTTGGGTAGGTCTTGTTTGGTATTAAGCTGAGAGATATAAGAAATTGGCCCATCCTTGAGTAAGATCTCTGTCGATGTGAGGAAAAGGTCCTGGCTTTTGAAGAAAGGTTGTGGGGGTTTTGTGGGTCAGTGTTAAAAGATTCTATTGTAGTGAACCCATAAAATTATTTTGAAATAATCCAATAAGGTGTTCTGACATGGGAATGGTCTACTGCAGCCAAGATCACCCTATGAAAAATCTCCTCCCATTATAACTTTTCTCTGCTTTTGCATCTTAACTACTTTTGTTATTTTTTGTTATTTTTTTTTGTTCAGTTAACATGGAATATGTCAATAAATAATACAGTGGTGCCCCGCATAGCGAGTGCCCTGTTTAACGACGAATCCGCATAGCGATGTGGATTTTGCGATCGCAAAAGCAATTGCATTGTGATGTTTTGAATGGGTAAACATCGCATTGCGATGATCGGTAAGCGTTTCGCTTACCGATTTTGGCATTGCGATGTTTAGAAAACAGCTGATCGGCGGTTCCAAAATGGCTGCCGGAAAAAATGGCCGCCCGCAGCATTTTCACGCCCTGTCCTCGCTTACCGGGCAGCGAAAATGGCGGCCAGATGGAGGATTTCCGCATAGCGGTGAGTTTTTCCCCCCATAGGAACGCATTAAACGTGTTTTAATGCGTTCCTATGGGGTTTTTTGCCCCGTAGAGCGACGATTCCGGATAGTGACGATTTTCCTGGAAAGGATTATCATCGCTATGCGGGGCACCACTGTAAATTTTATTTATTTGAATATTTTTGGATCAATGTTTGTTTTGCAGTGTTCTTTCTCTATATTTCGTACTCCTATATTTGGGTTGTTCATTTATTGTGAAAGGGTCTTCCCCCTGAAGGGAACATGCAGAGACCTAAGAGGCCACGGAGAACGGGGCTTAAGGAAGTGGTTTTATGCGTTGTAAATGAAAGAGTACTCTTTTTTTTTTTAAGTTTGCTTCAGGAAGTCCAAACAAACTTGATGCATAGGAATAATGATCCTGTTGCCAGCCATAAAACAGGGTAAGGACAACTATAAAGGAAGAAGTAAGGAAAGTACTGTACTGTTTTTTTGCACTGCTTTCTGAATTTACCAAAGTGTTTTGAAAATTAAGAATTGACCATTAGAAGCAACCAGACCGTATTTCTCTATCATGTTTCTGGCACTGTTTGTGATATACGGTAAGATGATGCAGTGATTAAGAATAACACACACAACTTCATTTCGCAAAGGGATTCATGATAAAAATGGCAATTTCCAGCTGCACCAGGCAGGCAATACAGTGAAGCCCTTTGGAAAAATGACATTTCAGTTCTGCTGCTATTTTACTCCAGTTGCTACATGGATTAGCTGCTCTTCCCCCATGTTCGCTGCTTTTTAAATACTACCCAGCCATGAAGCTGTACATTTAATGTGGGTGTGGAGTTTGATTCAGTTTTATAGGAGGTGTGATCAAGCAGGAAAATAGTGATGGAGTAAAAGGGTTAAAGAGATCACTCCTTCTGCCAAACCCTCCATAGCTGTTCTAAGATGCTTCTGCTGGTCCTTCTTTTTAAGACATGAGGTAATCCAGCCACAAATCTCCTGCATAATGCCCTATACTATAGTACTATATAGCATTATAAGTAAGTCCCTCCTTGCTAAATCCATTCTCCTGAGTCTCATGTTGCCTTCCATGACCCTGATTGATCAGGCTTTATTTGGTATGATCTCTGCAGCAGGGTTGGCTCAAGGCATTTTGCTCCAAGAACAAAATGGCACCCTCTCTAATTCCATATACATAAGGCAACAACTGAATCTTTCTTTAGCACTGATGGGAAATGGCCCTCTGCTACACTTGGAAAGCACAGGTGAACTCAGGAGGAACAGGGCGGGCAACCTCACTCTTCTCAATAAGGTTTGGCTAAAGGGATGTTACCAGAGGAAAACTGCTACTACTTTCTGGAAATAAATGGTCTTCACTAAACAATATGTCTACTCACTTGCTCTGATCCACACATGCCATAGGATGCTGCATGAAAAACACAATCCACTCCTTCACAGGCTTTGAACACTGCATCATGATCTCTTACGTCACCCTGCAAATTATGAAAATAAGCCCGTGAACATATAATAACACCAACATATTTCCTGAGCACATAATTACTTCACACCTTTTATCACATTATTAATGACACCAAACTCAAATGGCACCTTGAAGTGCCAGAAAGACAAACAAGTGGGTCCTTGATCAAATCAGGACTGAACTCTCTCTGGAGGCAAAAATGCTGAAGCTGAGGTTGTCCTGCTTTTGGGCACATCCTGAGAAAGCAGGTTTCTCCGGAAAAGAAAATAAGGCTGGGAAAGGTGGAAGGCAGCAGGAAAAGAGGAAGACAAAATGAAATATGGACTGACTCCCTCAAGGAAGCCCCAAGCTTGAGTTTACAAGATTCCGACGACTATTTGGCTCCCGTGATGATGATGAAGAACGAAGGAAGAGGCTGTTGCCTCCCAGCTGTTTACGATGCAAACCCTTAACTTGAAGAACTGGTGCCTTAAATCGCTTCTCCTCCCTTCTCTCTCTCCATCCCCTTTTCTTTGTCATGTTTATTAGCTCAGAGGTGGCAAAAGGTAGATCCAATTGAAACGGTAGATCTTTGGGTCATTTCCAGTAGACAAGCAGGGCTTTAGGGCTCTCCGTCGTTTTAGCAGCAGCAGCAACGTGGTCTGCTTGCATCTACCTGTGGCTGAAAACTTCCTAACACCACATTTGACAGGCAACGGTCTTCGAACCCCATGGAGGAATACGTACTAGCAATTATACTAGCTGGTGAAAGATTTCTCTCTACTCGAACCCCATGGAGGAATACTAGCAGTTATACTAGCTGGTGAAAGATTTCTCTCTAGAAGTTTTTATGTGCTACCCAAAATACAGTCTAGCTAACCTTGTACATCACACACAATCCGAGGCATTGGTACCACCGTTTCGGGGATATGTGGCTACATGGACTCTATTCTCACATCACAAGTTACCCATATGTCAAGAATCAGGTATCACCGACTTCCTGCAGAAATGACTAACCGCTGACATGTTCTCAGAGAATAATACAGTATCCTGACTGCCACAGAGGCCCTGTGCCCCCAACGTCTTCAGAAATACAGGCTACAAGCCACTGCCAGTATTATTCCAGATGGACTTGTCGTACAATCCAGCTACTTCATGCTTACCCTTGCCAATTACTTCAGGCCGCGGCACCAACATGCTTCCACCAGCACATTCAGGACTGACCTGGAATAATGCTTTCTTTGCTATCTTCTGTACCTGAGATATACTATGAGATCTTGAATCTTCTCAAGGTATAACTTGAGAAGTGTACTTCGAACGATTTCAGTAACATTACTGCATCATCGATGTGAACCTGAACCAGTGCACACAACAGCTTCACTTTCTTGACTCTATGATTGATTGATTGATTGACTGATTGATTGATTCACTCATTCATTTATTCATTCATTCAATTTTTATACCACTCCCATTAGTATCACAGCACTACTCTGGGTGGGTTACAACACATGTAATAAAAATAAAAATAGAGACAGTGAAACCAACAACAATAACACTAAAAAAACCCAGATGGCACCAACTAATCTCCACAGCAGATGGATGAAAAGAGGAGAGGGAAGAAGAGGAAAGAAAAGAAAGAAAGAAAAGGGGGGTGGGTGGAGGAAGGTGGTCAGCTGGGGTCAGTGTGGAAAGCCTTCCTGAAAAGCAGTATATTCAATTGCTTCCTAAAAGACCACAGGCAGAGCTCCTCTGGAAGCTGGTTCCATAAAGTTGGAGCCACTGCAAAGAAGGCCCTACCTCTGGTAGAGGATTTATGGGTCTCCCTCGGAGTGGCCACTCGGAGGAGCCTTGACTGGGATGATCTCGTGGGTCAGGCAGATGACCTTAAGGAAAGACACTCCAACAGCTAACATGGGCCCAAACTGTGGAGGACTTTGTATGTGAGTGTCAAAACCTTGAACCTGATCCGGGACGCCACGGGCAACCAGTGAATAAATGTAGATGGTTGTACATGAAAAAATGGAAAACATTATTGCCTGACCATTATCTCTGAAAAACCCAAAAGTTCTTATTAATTGGCTGAAATCTAGTAGCGGGTTACAGTTAAAGCAGGCCTGTTGAATTAGCGAGAATTTGATGAGTCAATTCCTCTCTTAGTTCCATTGATTCAATGGGTCAACTCTAGTTTTGGCTTACTGCTGGATTTCATATCAGGCCAATAATAATAATAATAATAATAATAATAATAATAATAATAATAATAATAATAATAATAATAATAATAATAATAATAATAATAATAATAATAATAATAAAGAAAAAACT